AGTTTACAGAATTATTTATTCCAAATGAATGCATAGTGTGTGGGGGAAATAAACACATGGTCAACCACATTCGTTGGAGACAACACGGAAATTCGGACGAAACCCTGGGAATTCTGATTGGTTCCTGTACACTTCCCCCCGGATTCGTGAGGAGACTCCTGAGCTCAGCCGATGAAGTGAATATACATTCCAACGCTGCTCACACGTATCACTCTCAAATGTGTTGAGCAATTATTATGGCTCCTCTAACCTTGCACTCGACCACGAGTGTTTGATGAGGATTGGAGCGCACAGAAGAATAGCCAATTCTGGAACTGGGAGCGAAGTCAGTTCACACAGATTCGAGACTTTAACTGTCCTGAAACTGTACCACGAATGAAACATGGTACTACAGTCAGTTAAAGTGTGACACAAACGGACGGAACAGGATGTCAGTATTGTAATGGGAGTTTCCTCACTAATAGTGCGCCCTCAAGATTTCACCATCTTCTAACTCACCAATATGATATCCAAACTTCGACACATACCTCCACTTGGAGTCGCTCGTTTTATTGCCTCCCAGTCTGATCCCACCAGACTGGAATTTAGCCTGGACTCTGGCAAGGAGTGATAATAACAGAAGGAATGCGATACTCATCGTGTTCATAAATTCACAACTGTTGAATTCTTTTTCTTGGAACAGAATTATACAAAGTCTGGCATGGTATGTTATACGTGTCACAAGTGGGATGTTCATCAACCTTCACCAACTAAAGGAATAAACAAACCCCTCTAAGGAACAATGATCAGTAGTTAAGACCGAAAGTTTCGTTGATTCTCTTGTTATCTCGCATCTTTTCAACATGTGCACTAATTCATGGATATCTTGCGCACTTGAGACTCTCAAGAGTTTCTCTGAGAGTTTCCTCGACATGTGTTAACGCTAATGATTAACAACAGGTCGAAATCACATTTCCGAGGAATTGCACATTTAACAACGGTCTACGGCAGTACCTCCAGACTGGCGCTCTCCCTCCCTTTTTCTGTTGACTGGATAGAGTTGATAAACGTTTCACCTATGGCTCGTACAATCTACCATGTCAAACGTGTATAATTTAGTTTCCACTGTCGCAGTTGCGAGGATAATGACCACGATCAGTCTATTGATTAGAATGGCTAGCGCTTTTAAGTTTATAATTTCAAGTTTATGTCACGGTAAATAAGAGATTTACTGCCCAGCCCCTTTCTCAGCTCTGCGTTGGAAAGTACATCACACCACTCAGAAAACATTTCCGAGGAGAGCATAAAAAATCTAAGGCATCTAAGGCATCTAAGGCATCGTCGTTCGCCACGAGGTACAAAAAATGAACTAATGAGCGGTCGGAAGGAAGAGGACTCGAAGACAGTTGTGAACAAATTCAAAGGTTAATGATGATCGCTGCGATCAAAACACAACATGGTGCGGTGTTGTGATTTGAAGATAGTTACATTTAGGATCTCTCGCGAGCGGATATTGTTCGCACGCTCCATTCATATCTGTACGTTAGAGACTATAGATTACTCATGAAGTCGGTCAGTTACCCGTCCCTACAAGTTGTAACGTCATTTGCTTTGTAGATAGTTTGTGGCTTACAACCAGCGGATGTGTCATAATCACATCGCATGTGGGACTT